TGCCCGGTTAGCTCAGTCGGTAGAGCGTGAGACTCTTAATCTCAATGTCGTGGGTTCGAGCCCCACACTGGGCGGTCTTTTTTTACATTTTCACTTTTTTGATTTACACCACCTTTGAACCACACTCACCATCCGCAGTTTCCAGAGCAAACTCGCTCCCCACAGCCTCTTGCAGCCTGTGCATCTTTGAAGCAACAGGGCGTGCTGAGTAGAATCACAGCTACTGCAGAGTCATCTCAGCAAACACCAAAAGGCAGAACAGCTGACAAGCTTGCACAACTGACAAGAGCATGAATGAACAAAAATTCAAAATGGAGGTTGGGGGGATCGATCCCCCGGCCTCTCGCATGCGAAGCGAGCGCTCTACCACTGAGCTAAACCCCCATGCTGACTGGTCTCGTGCCATGCATAGCATGCATTTGTTCTGCAAGCCGACTTAGCTCAGTGGCAGAGCGTCGCTCTCGTAAAGCGAAGGTCGGGTGTTCGATCCCCCCAGTCGGCAAACTTTTTTGGTTTGGTTCCCAGCTCACTCACTCGCCTTTGGTGCCTGCCTCTTGACCACTTTTTGCACAACCACCCAATTGAGGCATTCTTTTTTCGAGTCCGCCATGGTCCAGTGGTTAGGATCCCGCGCTTTCACCGCGGTGGCCGGGGTTCGATTCCCCGTGGCGGAGGTCTTTTTTGTGCCAGATGAAGGCAGAGGAGGGCCACTCCAAGTCTTTTGCCATATGTTGCCATTGGCCAGTACTGGGAAGCGTGCTGCTGCAATCACACACCCTCAAAAACACCCAAGGTGCTTCAAGAACACCTTTTGGACACCCAGAGCGCATGATCATGCTCAGATTTGGCGAGAAATCAGTGTTGCAGCACCCAAACACAGGCTTCTGGGGGGGCGCCCTAGGGCCTTGCAGCCCTCCAGCAAGAGCAAAGCACTCAGGATGCTTAAAAAACAACTTTTTGAGTGCCCAAACACACGATCATGCTCAGATTCGTCAAGTAAAAAAGTTGCAGCACCCAAGGACAGGCCTCCAGTGACCCCCAAGGGTCTTCCAGACCTCCCCAAAGAGCAAAACGAGAGAAAAATGCAGGGCTCGACCGGGGATTGAACCCGGGACCTCTCCCACCCTAAGGGAGAATCATACCACTAGACC